AGGCCACAGTCTTCATGCACACTGTACATAGTGTTTACTTTTGTTTAACGTTTCCTCCTGCACCATTACACACGCCGAAGGTGCACTTAATGATATTACTTTTGAGTTTCGACGCGTTTCTTACATTTCATCAAATTGTCGAATTAGTTGATTCCATAATATAAGAAACTTCTCAAATAGTATTTTATATCAGTAAATTTGAAGACTAACAAATGCTTTGCTGACTGCAAATCTGTCCGCCCGGCTTCGACCGCAGTGACTGAACGGGAAAAACGTGCGGGTCTCGCATGGGGATTGAAACTAACTTCCAGGCTCTCACGCCATTATCCAGCGAAAGACAAAATGGGCTGTATTGCAAGACAAGCCATCACTTGCAGGAGTTAAAGGCGAACTGACGTCCTCACGCGGGCACCAAGAAGTGTAACCTGTAAGCTTGTCCGCGTTGTTTTAGATCCCGAGATTTCAGTAGAGAATCGCTACGATTGACTGGCCGTGGATCTCGAAACCATTTCTTGTCCGACTTCCTGGTTCATGTACGAGGTGTGAACGAATGTGCGCCAATAAACACCGCATCTCCTCTGCAAAAGAGGGAACTCGGCAGCTGAATAGACCAGCTGTGTTCGTGTATCGACACAAAGCACTGCAGAGTTCTTAGCTTAGCTATAGTCGTGCAACTTAGAAAAAAACCTGCTGTGTAGGGTTTGAGGTTTCAAACTCACCGCCTTGAAGATGGAGGCAGCAAGAACCTCTGAAACGTTGGTAAACTTCTACCAGACTACACGGCGCAACAACCCAGAAGACAGCCATCTTCAAACTCACCGCCACGAAAACTTCAGTCAGGATAGCCGATCTCTGGGTCAAGATTTGAACCTGGATACGAAACAGAAGTGTTCACTACTCGGCCATGATGTTTAGCTTTGTAATGCGGGATCATAAATTGCCCTCTTTGGCCCAAACATTTTCCTAAACGCTTTGTTTTCAAATGTTTGTGATTTATGTTTCTCTGTCGAAGTATATAAAAAACTGACTCATGCAGTTGAAATACAATTGTTAAATAACGTCTTGTGGTTATGTGTGCGTCTTCAAAGGAGATTCATTGACCTGTCCCAGTTCTCTCTGACGTGAATTTAAATAGCAAACAGTTTGGAGTATCGGTCCTTGGAGGGAGTATCGTATCCAAACTCAAGCGGATTTATGTAACTTGTTGCTATCAGTCTGATTAAAGGAAGGTCATCTTCAGGCACGTGTGACCAAAGTGCGGCCGTTGGAATTCAGGCACAGCGCTTTGATGAGGAAAAGTGACTCTACTCCGTGATACAATGAGATCTGAAGGTGGATATAGTATGCTTCCCCGAAACGTTGCTGGCTGCCTACCTGCAAGAATAGATGTCGTTACCACTCAGAATAACATCGACTTCTATGCTGCAGTATCTGCCTTAATCATGTGAGATCCATTTATCTGGTCAAATAATTACCCGGTTTGATAGTGGTTCATCAAAGATTGGAGATTTTCACGTTGATGAAGACGTCGATTTTAGTCTTCTGGGTTGTGACGGCCTGTAATTTCATATATTGTTTCCAACGTTTCGGGGGAACATATTGCCTCCATCTTCAGGGGTGAAGGTTAATGTATCTGGGCCTAGGTCGCCAAGTGCACTAGTCTTTTTTCCCTCATATGAAATGTTCCGCCCAAAATTTTGTGTGGAATTTTCAATTTCCCCATGCGTGTTACATGGATGAGCTCGTTGAAGAAGTTAAATATTTTAAATGCCTTCGGTGTATCAAACTTTATGTAACTTGTTACCTCTGGGTGTAGACTGTTTAGCTTGAGTTCGATTTCTGTTTGTTGCGATGGCATGTTTTCACCCTCCACGTCTTTATGGTATGATGCTGTCCAGGAGAATATCTTTATAACTGTAACGATCTCGAAAGCGACCTTTTGGAAGAACCTGAAACAAAGAGGAGTACACACTTTAAGTACACGTGGTGTAGGATTTTGTATCTTATATCGTCCCTGATCATGAACTCAGGACGTGAGGGTGTACACTTCGTTATCACAGAATTTCCGGAAAAGCTGTTCGCAGGCCATTTCTTTATCACTACAAGGTGTGCCGAATCGTATCAGTATGGCTGCCGATAAGGCTCAGGAATTGGGTCGGGTTAATGACTTGGCCCTCAGCACACCTGAAAATATCAGCACAAAGTGTTCTTTGTTATATTGAAACTCGGGTTTGTTCGCCCCTTACGCCCCTGATTATATAACAGTCTCAGTAACATTGGTAGGTAACTGAATGTCTTACTAAGTAACGGACTTTGTAACTGAGTAACTTACTAAGTAACTGACACACAACCTAGGCTAACTTAAAAAGCTGACCTCTAATTAGAAAACTTACATCCTAATTACCTGTGTTACTACGTGAAATTTGAGGTTATCACGGCGGTGAAGATTTAATGGTAGTCTTTGTTGTGACTCCGTGGCCTGCAAAAAGCCTGTCTGAAACGTCGGTAAACTTTTACCAGAGTACACGGCACAACAACCCATAAGACAGCCTTTTTCATACTCCGCCCTGAGAACCTGAAATCTCACTTCGTAATTTCTTGATTATCAGAGCGACTTCTAGTTTCTGAAGAAGGACTCTGTCCCATTGAATCGATTAGGCGTAGGAAATATGACAAAAACTGTTGCCGTTGTCTCTCTCTCAAGGTCTTCAATTCGGACCGCTATCGGTTTTGCGTGAAGGACATGATCAGTATTCTTTGTCGTCAGGAGAAACCTTGCGCACTTCGTGATGTGACACACGTGTGGGGAAATGTCACGGGGGCGAGGCCCACTGCAAGGCCACTAGCACGTCAATGAATCGTGCGGAGCCGGCCGGCGTTGTCATAGCTGGTCGAACCTTTTCGACCTTCCTTCCAAATGAAAAGGAAAAGCGTACAAAGGTCATGGAATAAACAGTGCGTGCAATTTTTAATTGTTTTAAATGACTTTCATAGAGCATCCATTAATCTAGTTTATTTACCGGGCGGCCCAAAACGAATGACGTGATATTACTACTGTACCGATTTAAGTTTACCTGGATTTGGTCTTGAAACAGTATGTATTCAAGAAATACGCAACGTTTGTTGCTGTTTAGGAAAGAAAAGTTTGTGGCCGTGCAGAATTGTGCAGTTATTTGTACGTATTTTTCTGCGTATTTAGTTTTCCGTCGTGTGACAGTTACTAATGGACGTTTAAAGGCAGGCAACGCTGAATAAGCACAGAAGCAAACAAATATACCACCCTCTCTCCGAATTAGGTAGTGCTCGTTTCGAATCCAAGCAGGGTTGGACACTTCCTCAGACGAGCTTCAGGCCGTTATTTATGAGAGATAATAACGGCCGGATAGTTTACACTCCAACCTTCTACGCTTTCTTAATTATCATGTCTTCTACGAGATACAACTTACAGCGAATTACGAGGCAGAGGGCTGTATATGTTAGTTAAGTGGCCCTGGATACAAAACTGCCATCCACAGGTACGTTTTGTGTAACTTCGATCTGTGGAAGGGAAAACAGCGCATTTTGTCCTCGCCAGGACTCGAAGTACGCTCTGCGGAATGTAGATCTGCATCTTATTGATCTCATGAGTATGACTACGAAGCATGGTATAAACAGCTGACATTTTCGAGTTTACAAGTTGTATACTTCTGTTGTGCTTGCCCACAGACTGAAGATTATCGGTTGGCATTTATGAAATATACCTTTGTTCAGAACCTCCTTTTCGAGTTTTCGTTATGCCCCATCTTCAAAATCACTTAAGGGATGTAAGGTTGAAGGCTGTGAGTGTTTAGTGTGGGAGAGTGTCTGAACTAAAATTTGTCAAACATACCTAGTTTCTATTCTCTGTCGGTCCATAACAATCACTAATTTATGCTAAGTAAGTATCAAATCGGGCTATACACACAGTA